GAATGATATGAGTTCAGGCTGGAGATAAATGAGGTTTAATTTTTTTGGCCAAATCAAAGCTGTATCCCGCCCAACTAATGGCACCAACCTGTTCCAGACGAGGTGATTTACATAACCTTGTAGGATGTGCAATTCAGGGATCACAAACTTTTCTATTACTGGAAAATCGTCAATTTCATCAAAAAGTGGCATATTAACTGTGCTGTGACATTTTTGACCGTTTTTCTTATCGTTACCCAATGAACAAAAATTTTTATAATCACATCTAATGTTACCATAGGTTTTCAAAGTTTCCAGGGTGATATCAACTTCTGGGAACCAATCAAGTGTTTTTTAATCATGTAGAAGTTAACAATTTTTCAGTGACCCCAGGCTCACAAAACAATGTAGACACGAATAGCTCGCCGTCGCAGTTTGTTGATATTATTGACTTTTGTCAGTTCAAAAATAATTTTTAAATTTTCGTATGTTTCTTTGATTTTGTGTAGAACACAAAGCAAAATTTTTTCACACTAGTCACTTTACTCCCAGTTGACTCACTGTTGCCACATTTGAGTCCTCTTTTTTTGTTGGCACTTCTTCAGTCTCATCTGGAGCTTCTTCAGCACTTTGGCCCGCATCGAGTAGATAATTTTCCGGCAATATACCCATAAACATTTTGAAAAATCCTTGCCCCCCCATCAGCCATGATTTTCACACCAATGAGATTTCTCCTAGAGACAATTTCTTTAACTAATAGTTCTGCATCAGCCCATATAACCGGGCGTGCTTCTTTCTTGCCATTATCAGTGTCAAAATTTTCGAAACTGGACTGATAAATATTTTCCAGCAGATTTGATCGTCTAGACACGTGATCACTGGATGAAATGGACAGGGACTAATTTTCGCCCACTGGAGGACCTCAACATAGTCGTGAGTTTCTTATTTTTTTTTAAAGAAATGTTCATTTTGGTTTGAAAAATATCTAGGGTTTCGGTGGTGAATAAGGTATTTTTTTTTCAGTTGGATTTAACGAAATTCTAAATGGTTTAATTACTTAATTGTATTTCCAAATCTTTTGCACATGGAGTCATTGCACATTTGGTTTTTATCAGCTTGGCCGCGATTCTTTCGTGGTTCTCCACAAAAACTTTTGTATGAATAATTTCCTCGAAGTTCTTGAGAGCCCTCTTCCCAATTTTAGGATTTTAAACACAGGGATGCTTTTTGCCCTTTTCAATTTCCTGGAAGCACTTTTGACAGACTTTTAAAACTTGCGTGATTTTTGGCTTGTCAATTTTTGCCGGCACACTATTTTTTCAACACTAGATTTCCCGTACAGTCCATTTGATGGTCCAATTGTAGTGGTACATGGCTTCACTCGTCCAGCGCCTTTTAAAAATTTTTTCCTTGCCTGTGATACAAATATAACAATTGCACAAATCTCGTACCCTTTGGTAGCACCATTTCCAAGTAATTTGGCATGACTGGCATGGGTCTGTTGGTCCCTATTTTTTTTTCTGTGAGTATTAAACGACAAGTGCCACAGAGGCTTACAGGAAATTTCGGCACCAAAACGGTGAATTAACTATTTATGTACAATTTTATTAGATCAGCTATATCAGAATTTATTTTAAATTTTGTTAAAGTCGCGCCTCCACATCTGATTTTTCTCTGCACGGTGCACACAGTTTTGTTCTATTCTCTTCGTGAATACACTGACGTGGTTTTATTGGCGCCATTGTAAAAGAAGACTTCTTCACTAGGGGAAGCTGTATTTATAAATGGCAGCGATTTGCTAAAACGCAGGAAAATTGAAGTTTCAATGATCTTTAGCGGGAGAGAATTGAACTAAATTATCTATTGTTGACAAAAATTGTATACGCCCAAAATGTTTGTTTACGTTTATGTAAACCGAGTGAGCATGTTCGTTTAATTATTTGTAAATATTAAGGCAGTTGTATATGACGAGAGATTACGTGATGAGACAGGGGCCTAGAATACTATGAAATATTACATTTTCAGAAAATTTCGATTATTTGCAAAAAAACCCCACATCCTAGGGTCTAAAGTATAGAGGTGCCATATTTGTACAAATACTGTATCCAGTAACAGCCGAGCGTGTATTTTGATTGCTTGCTTCTGTAAAATTTTTAAAAATTGTCATAAAAATGCAAATTTTTACATTTTTAAGAGCGACCAAAATATAGCCCTCCGCAGAATTTTGAAATTGTCGCTATTCAAAATTTTTATTCACTCAATGTTTTCTTGTTATATGTCTCTAAAAGGGCTTTATTTTAAAAGTCTTTTGGTATTTTTCTTACATCATAAAGTCCATTATTAAGATTGTTATTAACAAATGAAATTTAACATTTTTCGTTACTATAAAATGCCTTTAACTTGAGTTATATTAATTAAGACTATGTAATTATTATGCCAAATCATGTTTCTAGTTTATTTTATGTTTTTAGTTAAGCTTAGGAGTATATAAAAGCATTTTATTTTATAATTTTCCCTTAATTTAGTTTTGAGGTTAAGTCATTATTTGGAATCTCATTTAATTTATTTAATTACAACAATGGTGTATTATTTATCATATCAGTTTTGTGTCTCGCCTAATAACTTTCTATTTCATGTACAATTTTAATCATTACATTTGTCTTTTTTGAGAATTCTATTAGAGTAAATTTCTTATAGGAAATCCATGTTATTTTTGACTTGTAAGATTTCTCTATTATTTTTATGTTTGCCTTATTAATTATTCAAATATGTTGTCTGATAGCATATAGTTAGTTCTGTACTAAATACTTGTTTTATTTATCAAAATTATCAATAATATCAAAGAGTACAAAATATAACTATAAAAGAGAAGTCACTCGCGGCATTTGCAAAGAAAATCGCGCTTCAAATGCGGGCCGACAAGTCGGCGTTTTTTCAAAGAGTACAGAGCTAATTGGGCTATACCAGGGGTAAGCGATAAGACGCGGCGGCCAATACACAGCGGAATCTAACGTAGCGCAGCAAACAAGCCTTACGCGTTGAACTACACCGGTACACTGCCGATCGAGAGAGGACTGTGGAGGACTGGCTGCTGATCGCGTTAGAAGGCGGTAATTGGGCGAGTGACTCCTCTTTTATAGTTATATTTTGTACTCTTTGATAATATTATGGTTTCGCTGTTTCAATTTTTAATTACACGTAAAAATTTTATGTTTTATTTTTTTAACTTTAAAATATTGTTTGCCAACATTAATACCATTACAATATATACCTATATATTTTTTCTTGCGTCTTATTTAATGTTCTTGATTTATTTTAATTTTCACGCTTTATATCTAGAAAGATCAATAAAGTACTAATAACATAAATAAAAGTTCATTATTTTATTTCCTACATGTTACGCCTTTAGTAAAATAGCATTGGTGTCAGAATGAAACACGACGTTTCGTTACGAGTCCTTTTTTTATATCTAAGCTGAGGCTATTTCCCTTAGACTAGGTCTTAGATAATATAATAGCAGATAGGCCACCACTGCATAAAGTTATACAATATTAATCTCGCTATCATATAATCAGTATCTATCTTTCTAATGAAGGCTTTCTCACTCGTTTTAGAATTCTCAGCAGTAGCGTACCGTAAAACAATTTCGCTGGGTCATTTTAAATGCGAAAATGTCGACCAAATAGAATATAAAATAAAAGGTTTTAAAAGGTAGGTAGGTGCATTTTTATTGAAGTGGAAACAAAATATGACTTTTTTGTTATGAATATAATATTAATAACAATTACTTTTAACACCACAACACGAACAAATTTAAATTAAACACTGGAATAATTGTCTGAGAAAAGCTTTGTAAAACTAACAAATACAAACAAAGAGATAGATATATTAATCTATTTCTCTCTAATTAGAATTCTCGACCATATTATCATGGCGACACAAACATTGTTTACTGTCCTCTCTTTACTACTTACTTACTCTGAGGACTAGGTAATAAAGTAATCAATTTCCATGTTACCTAACCTAACATTTTCCTCTTTTTTATAGTGAAATGGCCTTTTACACTTCGGTTACTAAAGTGTCCTACAATTAATTATCAAGGATTATTAACTAGGGTAATATTTATGATATAATGCTACGTTGCCGTAACAATAGAACAGGAATCTTTAACAGTTTACGTCCAAAAAAAAAAAAGTAATTTATCTGGATGTTTTAATACAAATACTTTTAAAAAAGTACCCTAATTGCAAATAAAATTCTAACCTTGAAATTTTATTCGTAAATAAAATACTTTATGTGGTAATTTAATTTTGTATACTTTTTATTAGTAATGACTTAGTAATGACTTGGAAAAGTCCAAGGACAAGTCTGACGGACTAGTCTGAAAAGTTGACTAGTCCAAACACTTCAAAAGTGGAAAAGTGTATTGGATATGCGCGAAATTAAATTACTAATTCGTCTGAATTTATTACAAATAAAAACAAAATATAGTTTAAAAAAGAGGAAACGACAAATGTTTACTGACTTTTATAATGTTTTAACGATTTTTTCGAATTTTCGTTTCATATCTTATTAAAATAAACTCGTGAAAAAATAACCAAAAAATCCAAAGGTTGGCAGAATTTTACTAATGATTTACCTAAAAAAATTAAAATAAAAATGCAAATATTGTTCCCAAAGTGTTTCTGAAAAAACACCCAGGATGTAGATTTAACTATGTGCCTTCTACGCTTAAGGTCTACTACTTTTCATTGTGACTTTTCATTACTTCTCACTACTTTTCCGCACATATCCGTCGGACTAGTCCAAAAATTAATTTTCATAAAACGTCTTATCTCTACTTTTTATATCTATTTAAAGAATTTAAAATTGTGATTTTTCAAATTGCGTTAGTATTGTATTTATAGTACGGGAGGTACATGTATTTAAACAATAATCTTCATCTATATTATTTCAAACATAAATTTATAATTATTGCTTCAATCAATATTATGCATTTTAATGTTTTGTATTATACTAACCTAGTCCAAACAGTCCCATCAAAAGCATAACAATACCAGTGAGCAAACACAACATTATGGCGTATTCTGGTCCGTATCCTCTTATGGCTTGGAAAGTCATCAGCGCCGAAATGGCCGATGGACCAACAGGGACATCTTTACAACTCCCCAAAAAAATATATACGATTGGACCCAAAAACGAGCTGTAGAGCCCATATTCAGTCGATAAACCTTCAAAAAGCAAAAATATAGTTTAATTCTATTTTGATAAAATTTATGTTTGACATAATTGAACCAGCATTTACTTAAATTCCTGGTTCTTTAATTAACATAAGTAAATATTTTCGTTCGAATCACCTGAATTTTATAATATGTAGCAATTTTTGCATCCTAAATTAAAATGTCGTTATGGGCACAACGTTCTACTATGACTAGTTTTTGAGTTTTGTGAACTTTCATAATTTTAAAAAATATTTATGAAGTCAACATCTTAATTTTGCTGATATTCATAATTATGTATTCAAAAAAGTTACAGATAATTGATATATACATATTACATATGTTTATTAAAGAATAAACAAACAAACTTTGCCATAGATGCTCGTTTAAACCCTAAGTGATCTGACCATTGACACCTTTAATTAGGATGTCAAAACTACCACATAATATAAAATGCAGGGTTAAAATGAGATTGTGGTAAAAATGTGGTTTATAGGGAATCCATATTTCAACACGAAATAAAATTTTACCTATGTAAAAGGCCTTTCAAACACAGCGGTCTCTTGAAAAAAAAAAAACCTAAAAAATTTAACTAATATACCTAATTTTACCAAATATCAGCGACTAGTTCTCTACAGCCTACAATCCTTTGATTAATCAGGTAATAACTGCCTGTGATGAAGCTTCTTTAGTTCTTCCTGGACCTTCTGTCTGTCAACAAAGTTTAAATACACATATGTATAGAAGAGAACCTTCCTGATTGCCATAGTAAAAAGAAGCCTAAAAGACGAATCCAAAAGAAAGCACAAAATGAAGTCGAAAAAATTAAATTAAGGAAATAACAGTAAACCGTATGGAGACAAAGGAAAGTCAACAAATCTTTAAAGAGAATAATGCTGGAAACTCAAGAAAAAAATTGATTATGGAGGAAGAAGAAAATATTGTTTTGGAAAATTTTGGACATAATAAAGAAATTGCAATAACACTACATTTTATTTCCATTAATCCAATATTATCAAACAAAATAATTGGCTAGGTAAAAATTTGATAAATCATTAAAAATAATGTTAAATTGTAAAATCCAAAATATAATTATCCACTTTTAAAAACACTTTGTTTTACTGAATATTACGCTTCCAGACAATATAAATATGATACACCATTGGTAAATACTAATGTCAAGTAGACATTTTGGATAACCATCCCGGTTAACTAACCTTGGCGTAACCATCCTTCCTCACTACTTTATATTCTATATAATAAAATTAACAATGGCAGTAAAGTAGTACAAAAATGTCACATCACCTATATTGACAAATTGGAATGAACACAAGTCGAGAAGTTAAAATTTTAAAAGTGATTAAAATTAAAATAAGTGTCCGTCAAGATTCACTATAAACTGCATTTTTACCGAGATTGTTTTTTATATTTTAACAATATGGATTTACAGTAAAGGCCGAAACAATCAATAATTTAAAATGTAGGGGTTAATTTTTTTATTTTAAGAGCACCACCACCTGTTTTAGAACTATTCGTGACTTGAATTAAACATAATTTTTTGTATATTTATATGATTCCAAACAATTTTAAAATATTTATCTTAACAGAAAGATAGAGATGGATAATACATACCTGCAATATTAGCATATGCCAGCGCTTGGGGTATCACAGTTAGGCCGACAGTAATTCCAGCTACTAGATCTCCTACTGCACATTCAGAATTGTACCTAGGGAGCCAATTAAGTATCGGTAATCTTTTATAAAGCATTTTTTTCGAACAGGAATTCTTGAGTTTCTTTTGAGTCCATGGTATCAACGATTTGATTGATTCCGCAACGGTGTTGCGTTTTTTGGTGTTGTCTATCACTGCAACAATAAAGTTTCTGTTTCAAAACTTGTCGCTTTAAATAAACAAGAAAATGTACAGTGACTGGGAGACACTAACTATATCTGACAAACAATAATTACAACGATCTTTTATTCTAAAATATTTTGACAGTTTGGTCATTTTTGCTAATACCGAAAGTATATATCCACTTTCCTATTTTAAATAAGACACCCCAATTTTTATTCCGATAAATCAATAATTTTTGGGTTTACCTTATATACGTAATAAAATGTACATCGAAAGTTGATAATTTGTGAAAAAAAAAAAAAAATTTTTTGTAAATAATTACTATTGCGGGTATTATTATAATATTTATTTTTGAGTAAAGTTAGTTGAATTATGATGACAAAGGAAGTAATTATTTACTGATTAGATGACATTAATAGTATATTACATAACAAGAGTTTTAAGTAACCCATTACGCACGAAGCCGCGCAGCGGCGAGTGCCTAAATTTCGCGAGTGCGTAATGGGCTTACAACTCGTGTAACGTACTATACTTTTTCTACGCCCACTTCGAAAAGGATTTAACGTTATGCTTGCGCCAATCCATAAATTTTCGATAGGAAATTTCGTACCTTTCTATGGATTTTAGCGGTAACAAATTATGTGTGGCAGCTTGAGATTTTCTAAAATCTCCGGTGGAGTGCTCATATTTCATTAGTTTCACTACTAACAGACATATTTGTAGGTAAAGTTAAGAGAATGTTCGGATACAATAATATTTTGTCACAAAAATTGACAATATAAATGACATGACGTTTATTTCCATAGCACCTTATTTTTGAAAAATTGTATAATGTGTTGCCGACATTTAGGGGCATAACTCATTTAATCCAAAATGTATCTCGCTAATGCTAAAAGTTTTTATGTCTTTTAATGGACTAAATTTATGTTAATAGACCAAATAAAGTCATACGTAGACAAAAATTTGATTGCAATTTGATTAAACCAAGAAATTTAAGTTTTCTTATCAAAACGCACGTGTATGTTATGAGATCTCATTACGTGCATGTCATGTTATGTTGGGAATGGGGTGTTAATACACTGTGACCTGAAATATCTATTGTGTCCCCTTCTGTTGCTAATGCACTAAGGAAATATCTCAATGCCTATAACGGCCCTTCCAATCCTATTTTCTCAAGGAAGTGTAGGATTTGGAGTGATTTCAAGTTAGGTAAATCTCCCTCTTCTATATGATATCCTCCTAGATATAGTGCCCTTGGATTCTGGAGTGCTACATATTCAGTTAGAATGTGAATGGAGGTTTTGTCCTCCTCTTCACAGAATCTGCACTCACTATCCTCTACTACTATCAGTTTACTAAGGTGTCCTTTTAGTCAGCAATGCCCGGTAAACATCCCTGTTACAATGCGTAGCCTGTTCTTGCTCAGGCAGATTCAGGCTTCCTATGTTTTCTGGTTATATTCACCCAGAAGTATCTTAGCCTGTCTCAGCCCCAAGAGGATTCTTCTACTGCCCAGTTCTTTTTCAATCTCTCCTAAAATTATGTTACTGCTGATACCGCAGAACGGCTCAGGTCCTACAATGGGTGTTTGAGCCCTTTTCTTTGCAAGACTATCTGCAATCTCGTTACCCTGTACCTCGTTATGTCCCGGGACCCAAGTGAAAATAACTCTATTTTTCTCGCTTAGCTCATTCAATTGTTCTAGGCATGTCCAGATCATTTTTGAACTGATTACGTAAGAGCTTAGCGCTTTGATATCTGCTTGGATATCGGAAATGATGATAATCTCTTGTCTGTGATAGTTTCTCTCGATGTTAAACTGGATACACTTCTCGATGGCGTGAATTTCCGCGTGGAAAATGCTTGGGTATTTTCCCAAGCTTTCGGAGTGCTTGGTTCTTGGCAAGTTATGGTTAAATGTCATTTACAAAAAAAGTTGACAGTGCGATTTTTAACGTTTACCGACATGGGCGTAGAAAAAAGGCCTTTTTTTGTTCATGGTGATAAAAACATGTTAAAATTTTTATTTAACAAAACATCTTTAGTTTTTTTTTCTATTATTTCATCATATTCTGTGGCCAAAAATAAGTAGAATGGGTGTTTACTTTCCTTAACTCATCTTTGATAGTTTTTTAAAATTTTAATATCTTCTATCAAGGGGTAGTCTCAAAAAACACGTTAAAATAAATATTGGTCGTAAATGCCTTATCCCAGACAGCACAAGTACCTACGTCCATAAAATATTCTCAGAATAAAAGGAAATAAATAAAACTAAGTCCTTAAGTTCTCACAGAAATACATAATTTGCTGCTTTTTATTTTAATAAATATCTAGTAGTTTTAAATGGGATGATGTCCCACCTTTTTCTCAAACGTCTTCCTAGCTCTCAAAGTATTCTTAGTGGCGCGCATCTAAATACAACTTTTTATATTTAATATTTTTATTGTGTTCGACATAAAATATTTAAATTTAATCCATTGATTTTGATTTCAGGTGTTGTACATAGAATACATCATATGTCGCAACCCTTCCCATGACAGCCATTTTGTTTGAATTGCCTAATTCTGACCAATTTATAACAGACACTCCCATTAGTTTTTCAGATATAGAGTGTCCACCCTGTATATGAATCTTTTCTCTCTAGTCTTCATAGTATGTCTGCACGTTATTGCATCAGATAAGGATCTAACATGAAAGTGGTTACTTTGTTTTATCAGAATTATCAAATAAGGAAATGTTACTTATTTCTTAATCAGCAATGGTAGAGAAAGTTTTGTAATCTAGTCGTAGAAAAAATATTTTTTCTAGATAAACTACTTAGATTATTTGGTATAAAAATATTTTTCACTTACCAATAAAGTCATTACTACCTAAGTAGGCAGAATCATTTCTATTCCTAAAATTATGGATGGTATCTGTTGAAACAGTGAGTGCGGGGTTGTCGTAAGATAAATAGGTTCCGTGGAGACCGCCTCCTCCTGCTCCTTGGATGTCCCTATCGGCTTTCTGGTGTTCATTCCTGAAACAATGAAATTAAGTTCACTAATAGTTTGCAACATAAAAATAAACAAAATGGGAATCATTATTATGTATACGATAAGAAATTGAAAATTTATATTGATAAATTAATGTAGAAAGTATGAAATCTACTGGAATTGGAGAGAATTTTGTTAAAATTTCAATATGATGTCTTATTTTCTTGATCGAAAGCATTTGTATGCTTAACTGAACCCTGTGGCTACTTTTTCCAGATTTTCAAGAATACTCCAAATTACTATGTTTCAAAAATCGAAGTGTGCAGATTATATACAGTGTGACTATTTAAAATCACAATGGGCTATATCTCACAAACAATAGATATCAAAAAATGCTTAAAATTGTTTCTGGTATTGGAAGAGGGGGAACTAAAATGACATAAAAGAGAACTCACAAATTTGTATTTCAACAAAAACTTCATTAAATTTTCCTTTTAAGGCAAGGTTTCACAATTATTGATTTTTATAAGCTTTTTAATGATGTATCACAAGTCGCTATTTAAATTTAGTTGGGGTAGGTTGAGGCCTTGGGGATTGATGTTCTCTTTTATGTCATTTTAGTTCCCCCTTTCTATTCTAGAAAATTGCTGTGTTAAAAGTTAATACCAATGCTGGAGAAACCAGGGCTAATTTTCAAGGTAATACTCCATACCACAGTTCTTCAATAGGAAAATTGCACCAAGCTTAGAAGCCTAAATCGAAGTTAGAAAAATTAGTTCTAACAAAGACGCTTTTAATATAAAGGTGTTGAATTTTGTTTACAAGCAAGCCACTAAATACTACATATGTATAGTCGCCTCCGAATTCGGCAGGAAAATGTACATCGAAAAAGATACAGGTAAGTTTGGCAACATTGTTAAAAGAACCTGATGAGTGGTTGTAAATTATATACTTACGGCGGATTATAATACATAATGGTACTCAGGTACCTATTTGTAAATTTGTATAAGTCGTTTATCAAGAAATTAAACATATTTTTGTTTTTATCCAAATTTAAAAAAGTTAAAATTATAATTTGCAAGAATTTCATCCTCCACAGTAACACCTGAGGATGAAGTTTCAGTATTTAAATGTTCGGCTCTAAAGCCTTGACCTGCAGGAACCTATTATTTTTTCCTTTTTCCTTTTTTGCGTGGTTCAGTTATCCGGCTATCACGCAAAAATGTTAAAAACGATGTGGACCAGTTCTTAGATATATTATTTATCTTTGGTAGTTTATTAGGATTTAAAGGAATAAGGCCAGAAGCTTTGAAACCTGATTTAATATTGGTCTTTCACTTTATTCTAGTTTCTTCTAAAGCCTCTGCGAGCAATTTTTTCCAAAAAATTCCACATTTAAAGGTTGTATTAAGTGGATGGCATTGGGAAGTAATGAAATGAATATAATGTCATTTTTTCGGCATTCTTGGATGACTTATAAGGAAAAATTACTAGATAAGTTGTCATCTATCAACACCTTCTTTCCGTGAAATTTTTTGAAATAAGGCAGAGCAACTTCTTAGAACCAGTTTTTAAATATTTCCTCGTCAAAACAGCCACTTTTCGACCTATTGTAAACGGCGTTTTCTGGTCCACTTTCCACTTAAGTTGGGTATAAATGAGTCGCTTTCTACACAATGTAAGGTTTTAACAATTATCCGGAGCCACTGACGGCTATCATTACAGATATGGACGTTTTGCTACAATCAATTATCCGATCGACCCGTTCGACACCCCTTTTGTAATAACTTTAAACCTTACAGGATCGTCGGATAGGTTGATTTCGTCGTAATTGACCATATTAGAAGCTGGAACATCTTTTAAATTGATTTCTAAATTATCAAAATATTGATTTATAATTTCAGGCGATAAATTTGTTCTGCATCGTTTGATATTTTGAGACATTCTTTCCGTCAACCTTCTGTGCCTTGCTATACAGTGGCAGAACACCTCTTCTCCAGGATAATTTTCGGAAAATTTTTGTGCCTATTCGATCAAGGTATTCTTTCACTAATAGTCTAATATCATGTCGTGTGAAGCGAAACCCCCAATTTGAGGCCATTTTAATATCAGCCACAAACAAGGTTTCTTCTTTTGTTGATAGCGCTGTTTGATATCCATCCATTTAACGTATTGCATAAGGTTAAAACCGGTATACCGTATTTCTCGGCTACCCATCTTGAAGTGCACTTCTTTGATTTAACCGCTTCTATCAGTTTGGCTAAATTATCCTGGTCATACTTTTTGTATTGCGTCAGGCCTATTTGCCTTTTATATATTCTGGGGGCATATTATTCGAATTCCCCCCTAAAATGAAAAATTTTTCAAAAATAAAATTTTAAAAAACCTGTATTTTGTATAAATTATTAAGAGGTTACATACTTGTTAAGTAAACAATGCTTTATAATACAACTACACTCATAAAGATATTTATTTTAAAATAGATATAAAAGTTTTTTTTAGATCTTTGAAATTTAAGGAAATTTGTTTTTGTTATACAAATTTTAATTAGAAAAAACTTAATTATAAATTCGGCTGAAACACTAAACACAATTTGCACGTGGCTGTTATCTGTACTATATTTAATAAACATCTGGCAATACTAGCGACATCTATCTTACAGACACAGAGATTTAAACAAAAAATAGAGATGTGTTCGAATTCAAACCTGTAACGGTTGGAACCATTATTCATTATTTTAGCTTAAACACACTATAAGAAATAGATAAAATATCAAGCATCAGGTTACAAACCGTGTGTTCAAATTAACCCCGGATGACGGTACAATTTATAAATTTAAATCGTTGTGTATATTATTTTTAAAATGGTTATTTTATCTTTATTTTAAAAATATTGTTGTTTTTTAGTGAACAGTAAAGAAAATACACTGTACAATTCGATTGGATTGTCCATATAGCACTCAAATGTTTGACAACTTCGCCTATGACTGACTTAATGTCATCTCATCTTCATATTATATTCATATTATAATATCCACTCTTGTTACACCTACCTAGATATCCTATAACAGTATATTTTCTAGAATTTTCTTTTTATTCTGTCCTATTACGGAAAAATACACATGTATTTATGTAAACCAATTAATTATATTAAAGTTTGTAGAAATATTGTAAACAATGATTTAATTAGACCCAAATAATTGTGTACTTAGGTTTTACTTAGTTAATAATTAACGCATTAGTTTTTTATGATAAAAACAGAATAATTAAGTTATAATTGAATCTTCTGAAAAGGAAACTTGAAAATATTCATTATTTAAAATGTAAATCAAGAATTTAATTATGCAATGATAAGAGTTTGAAAATGAATTAAGCACATATAAACAGGATTTTCTTGACAAAAAATTTGGCTTGTATGTATTTTTAAACAGACCGTTTTCTTCAATATTTTCTTTTCATTCAATATTTGATGATGTATATCTATAATATGGGCATTGTGATTGTGTAGAGCAAAAGTCCCAAAACTTTTTGTTTTAGTGATCACTTGCATGTTTTCGGTTTTGGGTTGAGCTTTTTTAAAAATGCATCAACTTCAAATGTGTTTCGACTGATTTCTGACAGTATAGTCTAGGGCATTTAGATCAAAATCGACAGGAATAGCGGAAATTTTTAGGGGCAGCAGATATCGAGATGCGGTTTTTTGCATTGTGATCAGGAAGGTCCCAGAAAAAAAATGTGTTTCGAATGATTTCTGACAGTATAGTGCAGGGCATTTAGATCAAAATCGACCGGAATAGCGGACATTTTTAGGGGCAGCAGATATCGAGATGCGGTTTTTGCATTGTGATCAGGAAGGTCCCAGAAAAAAGTCTATATCGTCTGGTTTAGCCATTTTTTGAAAAATACCTTGTGGACCAGAAAATGCATTTTCCAATTGCATCATTGCTTGCATCATTACTTGCACCATTATGGGAACGACTGGAAACTCCGAAAAATCACTTGGAACTCGTTACTTGGGGGGTTTTAGGGGCTGGCGAACTTGATTATGGCATTATAATTACTCGGGGGCGGCTCTGCGGGGGTATCTGGGGGGAAATTGCATAGTCCATGGTAAGCGCTCCCAACTCGTTACTTGGGGGTTTTCGGGGATGCTGAATTCAATGGCTTAGAAACATATTTTGCATACAATAAGTACTTTTCATTTGATCCTTCCTTTATTATTCTTTGCAAATATTAGAAAATGTTGAAAGTCGTAAACCATTTCAAATTTTAATAATGATATTAGTAAGCAGTAACAGTAAACACAGCACAACTATATAACCTATAAAAAGGTTTTTATTATTTGATAGTTATAACTTATATAATGCAATAAGATTTATATAATAATAACTTATATAATACACTAAGAATTATATAATAACGTAGTGGTAATAAATAATATGATACATTCAAATTAAACTTAAATAATATGTTGCAACGAAAATATAAGTCATAAAATAATAAGTTAAATAATTGACATTTTCCGCGAACTGACATTAAGTAACATCTTTGTCGCTCGCCAAGCAGAAAACTTGACAGTTTTGTTGCTCGCCTAATTTAAATTAGATAAAATATAATAAAATTCCGTTTTAGCAAATTATTTTTAAGTTACTTGTACGTAGTTTGATGTTTTTTGTCTTATTATTCAAGTAAACATTGACTTTGAATATCAACCCTGCAATCTACCTCACCCAGTACCGCAATAAGTACCTTCCTCTCCGCCACGACGCTAGGGGTCTCGACGCAAGGCGACGCTCAATGCTGCGACGTACCTAAATCGAGGCCGTCACAATGCTAGATAAAATTAGTACATAATGTCTACCATAGACGAATCCTAATGTCTGTATTTTCAAAGAGTCAAAAGATTTATGACTCTTTCGTTGAGATACCCCCGGGGTTTCGTTTGAACATGGCCCTGACATTTGCTTCAAAATATTATCAATGCAACCAATAATCCACATGGCCTAAGGGCATTCACCTCGAAAGACAGGTGAATTTGAGTAATTTTAATAAAAATTAATGTTTTAG